GACAAGTAAAGTTGTGAGGAGCCGGCAGAGAGCCGCCAACCACGCCGCCATCTTGTGTAATAATGTCCGCTATTGTCCTGTTAAACTTTATATTTCTTTTCGCAACCTCTGGATGGATCAACGTCCATGCATCAGAAACGGTGAGCTTGGCAGGTTCGTCGTGGAACATGTCTGTCATCTTCAGGCCCATTCTACTAGCGCGTAACAGTCTTGCGGTGGGTTTACCTTTCAGCTGTTTTACTGGCAGCTTAGTGCTTCCGTTCCTAAAACAGAAAAATTCCAACGCAAATTAAAGTTTAAACTAACCGTATTTATCAGAGAACTTATGGCCTAACCTTAACCTTTCAAGATCTAAACAGGTACTGTTTGCCTCATCATCCTGCGAAACAGTCTTCTGCTCTCCGTCACCACTCGCAGTTAAGTCTACAACGAAAAAGTTGGTCGCCTGAAAAAAAATTGTATTGGTTCATTAGAAAACAGTCATTGATAGAGAGTGAAAAACTAGGCTTCCGTAACTTGATGGCCGGATAAAAGCAAGCCTAGCATGAATTTTTAGGGCATAATACAGATGCGAGTATAAAACTCAATTATGTTTTCAATAAGCTGTTGAAACAGTCGTCTGCAGTTTCCCAGTAGATACAAGAAAAATGTTTGATATTTCACAAACATCGAAATCAAACAATCTCAATCTGATCTTCCTTTCTCGGCTCACTTTATGATTAAACATACAGCTAACCTTCCTCTTAGCAGCATCATCATCAACATCGTCATTGCTGTCTTCTTCTTTAATGAAATTCAAATCAGCCTTCAGAGTCTTTTTCCAGCGCCGTCTAAGGGGAAATTTCTTGTGAAATACTTGATGGTATTCCGTTGACGTGATCTTTAACTTCTCCTTGACTGGGCTTATTCTGAAAGGAATACCATGCGTTGAAGAACAGCTCTTATGTAGCATTAGCTGAATATTTTTCAGTTGTTTTAAAGCTGTTGACATCGTGGTTTCATCATCTACCAAATACGTGGTATTCTTGAAGGTATCGATCTTATCAAGAAACCATTTTCTCAATTTTTCAACTGTAGAAGTCGTAGTGGTGCCATTGGGACTATTATTGGGTAACTCAATATCTGACTTCTCCAAATATTCTGCTTCTGCTGACTGGCCAGGCCAGGAAGCACAAGTGCAACTAGGATAGGAAAAATCCACTAGCTCCTTTTTGTTTACGTTGGCTACGCTTTTCACGCTGAATTAGCCTTTCTGAAAGTTTACGGATGAGATGTCGGCTTCAGTGAATTCACCAGCAGCAAATCTACTGTCCAAACAGTGTTTAATAAACTGTGGTGGTCGGTTGTGAAGATAAGTCGGTATCCTAGAATTATATCTTCCATATTCATCGCTGAACTTGAGGTTCTTTACCAAATATCTTCCGTGAGAGTCAGGAATGAACGATTCTACCAGTATTGCTGCAATGCCATAAACCGATTTGTCAACTGATCTCGGAAGATATTCGTACTTAAACAGCTTGTTTTGCGCCTCAGTGCCGTTATTGGTGTTAACTATGTTTGTCTCCAGCTGCTTTCGAAAAGCCAGTGCCCAACGAACTTTGCATGATAGCCCCGTGTTGATTACATAGTTCTCAACATTTGGTTTGTCTTTGTAAAGCCGGGATTCTCTCAAGGCGCTCACTTGCTTTTCGAATTTGTCTACTGTGTTAGCATAGGTGATACTCTTCATATGCTCTAAAAATATCTCCTGCTCAGCAGACGAAAGGCCATTCTTCTTTGACTTGGACCAGCGGTGCATTGCTTGTAATCTATGGAAATCAAAAATGTACACCAAACTTTTAGGGAATTGTTGTTCGAGGGCAGCGATTTCTGCATTGGAATAATCCACCATGAGGTAGGCCGGATTCCACGCTGGGTTCCATCCCTTGATTATGGCAAGTGCTTCACTTATAGAGGCTTGATCTTCGGACCGGCACATGAATTCAGCCACAACCTTATGTCCGACGTTGGTATGTACACAAACGAAAAAAAGTGGAATTGTGCACCTTGTCGTTTTCTAAGTGGCGTCCATCAGGGCCGGTTCACTACCATATCTTTCAAGCATTTGTTGTTGCCATGGCTCTTGATGTACAAAGAGCAAGGTTTCCTCAGCAGATCTAGGCCTTGGTTCATCTTTTTCGTTAATGACAGCTTCTCTGGTTCGGTAAAAGAAGTTGCTTTTGGGAGACTTAGTTTGCCAATCTTCTATTTTTTCCCCCAATGCTTCTTGGTCGTCATCGCAATACTTCACTTCTGAAATCGCCTTGGC